TATGAAATCCAACTTCAAGAGATACAAATCATAAGAAGACACCTTTGCGAGAATCTGAGAGGAAGAAGGTGAAAACAGACGATGAAGTCAGATGATCCCTGTTGCGATTTCAGAATGAGACCTTCCACCATTTTAATCATATCTCTTGATTGGATGATTCAAATCATATTCGGCAAATTGTAGTGGATAGAGGACTTCATTATCTACAACCTTTGTGAAGGAAGCGTTGTCAAATTCGGAATTTAAGTAGGCCCGATCGTGCCCTCAAAGTTAGGCACGATCGTGCGTGAAGAGAAAAGCACCATGGAGCTACTGCCAGTCAGGCACGATCGTGCCTGGAGGGAGGCACGACCGTGCCTGCCCAAAACGCGCGTTTTTGCTCCGGAGGCACGATCGAAGGCACGATCGTGCCTGGCACCGTGCTTGTCTCCGGAAAATCCTATTTTCGCCCGAATTACCCCGTTTTTGTCCCAGTTCAACCCAAACTCATCTGTTTTCTATAAATAAGGCCTCCATACCCCTTTTCGAGTGTTATGAAGAGGCCTAGGACGAATTTTATCTGCGCTTTTACGTGGTTTACTTCAAGAACCTGGGATTCTTTGTAAGTTCAATTCTTTTAATTAATGACAATTTATTCTATTCATTCCAATTCTTTTGATTCGTCAATTATGAGCCATGAGTAGTTTACTTAGGGATTTGGGGTTGATGAAGGGGTTGATCATGATGTATGGCTAGATTCCTTTCGGTTTAATTGCATGAATGTCGTTTAATTTGTGTTTGAATAATTTAACTGATATCTCTTGTAACATAGAACGGCCGCTAGAATTACAATTGCTTGTAGAATAAATTAAGAGAGATCTAGTTTATTTTAGGACACATTCACATACACTTAATCGTTCGCTAAGAGATTAGTAGCGATTAAGGGATCGTAAGCTCGCTCGTTTTGGCAATAATTTAGGATCATGTCGCATGAGAGATCAGTCCGGTCCCCTAAATTATTGTACTCTACGCCGCGAGAGCGGTAAGAACTTAGTAATGATTAGTTAGGCTCAATTAAATCAAATTCAGGTCATTAGGCCTAATCTGCCAGAAATCTGGTTAACCCCGGGATCAATCCCTATTCCCTTCGTCGTTCATTAAGGAAAAACCAATCTTTTTATTTAATTGATCATTAGCATTAGTTTTCATACCAATCAAATCTCGCACGACGCATTTTTATTTATTTATTTATTATTAATCGCTGAATTTAATTAATTCTTGATTCCCTTTTGTCCGTCCCTGTGGAGACGATACTCGTACTTTTTACCCACTTTTCTACAACCATTTTAAGTACGAGAAAACAAACATCACTATTGCATTGGCTAAAAATCCAGTTCAGCACAATCGTACTAAGCACATCGATATCAAGTATCACTTCTTGAGAGATGTTCAAGCAAAGGGGCATATTGAGATGAAGTACTGCCCAATAGAAGAACAATTGGCAGATATTTTCGCGACGGCCCTGCCAAGAGACAGATTCCAGTTTCTGCGAAGAATGCTTGGAGTCACCGACAAATGCATCAAGGAGGAGTATTAAGTAGTGATGCATTTATCTAGAATATTCTATGTAGAAAAGACTAGAGATGATGTAGAGAGTTAAAGCTAGAAGTATTCTAGAGAATTTTTATGTAGAATCTAGAGCAATTAGACATAGTTGTAGAATACTCTAGAATCATAGCATTTAATAAGGATCTAGAATGATCCTCTAGCTCCTATAAATAGGACTCATTGTACTCATTTGCTTACCAAGCATACCCAAGCAATATCAATACAATACTTCTTTTCAAGAGACAAGAGCTCTACTCTAAAACACTTCCTCTATACTACACCTCACTAAAATCACTTATCATATTCATACACCTACAACCTCTTTTATTTTCTAACAATAACAGCAGCCTACGGAGTATATAACAATTAATTAATTCATAAGATCAATATTATAATTGTTGATCATAATAATAATCTTTATATAACAGCAACATTTATCTCGACTGATCATTTTTTTACTCACCACATTCTTCCTGATCCTTGACCGATAGAAGTAATCCATGGCTTGCAGTTTCAGTAATGTCCCCACGTTCGGACAGGACCCTCCGTCTGAACATCCTCGTTTGGGATCCTTCTCGGTGGAATTTTTTGATGAAATTTTTTGAGCATGTTCCTCATCAAGTCTAGTTTGTCTATACCAAATTTCAGCTCAAAATTCGATCGTGAAGGCATTCAAATCATTAAACGCAGTCAACTTCAAAAAATGATTTGAATGCCTTCCCGATCGAATTTTGAGCTGAAATTTGGTATAGACAAACTAGACTTGATGAGGAACATGCTCAAAAAATTTCATCAAAAAATTCCACCGGGAAGTGGCCCAAACGTCCATGTTCGGACGGTGCTCGGACGGGGAATGTTCGGACCTGAACATTCCTCTCTATATATATAGCATTAAATGTTACTACATACTTACTACGTAGTAGTATTTACTTTTATAATTAACTTAGCAATTAACTAGCATTAGAAATATAGTGAAATTTTGGTAAGTAACTCAACTTTCCTCCCAGGCCACTTAAATGTACGTAAAAGTACGACTTTTTCGCTACAAAAGACGAAAGTGCTTTATCACCTTTATGTATTGTAGTCGAGAAATAAAGGAGCTTCGTATTTGCATTGCATATTTGCAGACACAAGTACTTTATTTCATTTGGTATTAATCCAAGTACTATATAGACTGAATAAAGAATTTACGAAAGAGAGAAAAAGAGAAAAGCCTTTTAACATTATATGACACGACACATAAATAGTGCCGATTGATCAATGATTATTATTTTTTTTTTTTTTTTTTTTTTTTTTTTTTTTTTTTTTTTTTTTTTTGAGAACGTCCTGATCAATGATTATGTGTCAAATAGTTCTTGTGCCAAAATATCATTAATACAAATTTGGTGTATCCATGCCAAATCCCTTATCACTTTTTCTAAATCTTTTCAAATTCCATCAAGTTTTACAGTGTGAAATACGTAGTAATAGGGATCATGTATTCAAACTGTAAAATGCAATGCCAAATAACCGATATGTGTGTGTTTCTACTTTCAATACGGTTGGGCTCAAATTAAAATTGAGAGTGGATTAGGTCAATTTTTATTGCAACAATTGTTGGCATTGATGTAATTTTTGGAAACTTGAATGTGAAACCAAATGAAAAGAGTGTACTCATGTATCACCGAAGTACATTATAATCCATTTCCTCGTAAGACTATAGGATGAGTAATAGTGAAATATCAATTTTAGAATACTTAATTGGGGAGTTGCAGTGAAAATATTAGGACTAATAATAGTGAAAATCACAATTGAATGAGAAAAATTGAAAATTTTTTAAGCCTTCAAAAAGCTACCAAGTACTTCGTATATATTACTCTCTCCATACCATAAAAATGCTCTCATTTCAAAGTGGGTAGATTAAAAATAGTGAAAGATAATACTGTATAAACTATTGAGGTTATGATGAGAAGATAGTGGAATGATGTAATAGAATGAATTATAAAATTAAAAAAACAATTGTAATAGTATATTATTTTTAAAATTATTGAGAGTATGATCAAAAGATTTTTTCGTTACGGATGAAAAGAGAAAATTGAAAGATTTTTTTGTTACAGAGTATTCGATAAATAAATGCGGCTTGGTTCTATAATTGTTGGACTTACTAATGTTTGAAGATTTAAGGGCATGCAAATGAAATGAAAAAATGATACAGAAAGAGGAATTTATTACGTATAGTAGTACGAATGAAGCATTTATCAAGAAAATCGTAAATAAGTATCTATTTCATGTCATCATGTGCTTAGGAGTCCACTCTGCAGTGGGCTACGGTATGCATGGTCCTAATCATATGTTTTTCCATTTCCATGCATGTATCAATCACAGTAAATTAAAATCATACGAGCTCCGATCCCAATTAAGCGGCAATTTGGAATATTTTTTTGAAAGGAGTAATGCTTAACTATTTTAAAATTGTTCTTAAACACTAATCCCCTTACCAGTCACCACCACACAAACTTTTTCTCCACTTAACTCCCACATAAAAAATGGTCCCCTCACTTTCTTACCCAGCATAAAAGAGATCATTCTAGCTAGAAACAGCAAGACCTTTTGCTGGATATGTGAGAGATTAGAAAAAACAGTCGGCCCTAAAAATCAAAATACTTCCACCCGAGACAACAAAACAATCTGATCTACAATCTTTCAAACCGTCCAAAACACACAACTATTGTCGAAATAAAAGAGTACGGCGTAATACAAGAGAAACTTGAACGAAAAATAGACCACAAATCCGCAGGGTGGTCAGATCCAACCTTGCAATGTAAACCCTACATCTCCTCCGCCTCATTGAAACGTTCATGAAGACTTCAGCAAAAGAAGTGTACACCACCGACTATCTTGGCCGCGGTTCTCAATTCCGCTTTCCCAATTCAGACTATTTTCAAAAGGGAAAATGGAAACTAATAATCCAACCTTTTAGCGGTCTTCTTTCAATAATCTCACCTTTTGATTATTCATGAATAGTCCAACCTTTGCACCTCATATTCATTCATTGGTCCCTGGTCAGTTAATGACCTACTATTCCAAGTTATTTTCTTATCTTTGCAAAATATGATCTTTGTGAAAGATGAGATTTATGGTATAATGAATTGCAAAGATAACAAAATAGCTTGGAATAGCACGTTATCAACCGGTCAGGGACCAGTGAATGAAGATGAGGTGCAAAGGTTGGATTATTCATGAATAACCAAAAGGTTGGATTATTGTAAGAATCATTTCTGAGTGGTTTCGAAATTATTTTAGAATTTGTTTAGTCATATGAAATCATATCCTTTGTTTGTAATACGGAGTAATAAACTAATTCTATCAATATGATCGAAATTGTTCACATACATAAGTATGTACATGAACGCTTAAGTGTATAGCATGAAAATGTTGGATTGTATTAATCATTATGATGTAAACTTGGGATACATTTATACACGTACAAGAGATAAACTCAAGCTAACTGCCTAGCTAATATAAAGGATATAGCTACGGACTAGGAGCTAATATATACAATTGACTAGTACGTCTATGATATTATCTGATAGAATAATAATAATAATAATATAATTTATGCTTTAATACGCCCCCGCAAGATGGAGGTTCCATCGGAAACGCCCATCTTGGACCGAAAGTGTTCAAAGAGAGACTTCCCAAGTGGCTTTGTTAGAATATCAGCTATTTGGAATTTATTTGAGACATGTTGAACCATAAGTTGACCATTCTCAACTAAATCACGGACAAAAAAGAAATCAAGGGCCACATGTTTCATACGAGAATGAAACACGGGATTAACACAGACATGGGTAGCCCCTTGATTGTCACAGAAAATCCGGGGAGTGGTAGGCAGCCGAATTCCGATTTCTGAAAGTAGATTCCGTATCCATAAGACTTCTGCACTAGCATTTGCAACTGCCCGAAACTCAGCTTCGGTGGATGACCGAGCAACTGTCTTTTGCTTTGCGGATTTCCAAGAGATAATATTCGAACCAAGATAAAGAGCATATCCCGTAGTAGACTTACCACCATCATTAATACCTCCCCAATCAGAATCCGAAAAAGCTGTTAGCGGGAGAGAAGCGCACCGTTTGATAAAGAGTCCATAGTTAATGGTTCCCTTTAGATACCGGAGAATACGTTTGACCCCTTGAAAATGCATATTTGTCGGAGCATGCATAAATTGTGAGAGACGATTCACAGCAAACGATATATCCGGGCGTGTGAAGGCTAGATATTGTAATAGGCCAAGTGCCTTTCTGTAATTGGAGGCATCGGCAGCATGTTGTCCATCAGTGAGAAGTGGAGGCGAGCTTGAACTCATGGGGGTGGCAACCTCCTTAGCACCATCCAGTTTGTACTCATCAAGAATATGTAGAATATATTGTCGTTGTGACAGAAAAATGCCATCCGGGTGGGTTATAGTCTCCACGCCGAGAAAATGGTGAAGGGCCCCAAGATCTTTCACAGAAAACCGATGAGTAAGCTGAGACACGAACTTATTAATGGCTTGCAAATTATTCCCTGTGAGTATAATATCATCTACATATACAAGAAAATATAAGAGGACATCATGATGAGCATATATGAAAAGAGAGGCATCAGCACGGGATTTGCGAAACCCCGTAGAGATAAGAAATCGTGACAATTCCAAATACCAAGCACGTGGGGCTTGTTTGAGTCCATATAACGCTTTGTGAAGACGGCACACGTGTTTGGGATGTGCGGAGTCGACAAACCCGGCGGGTTGAACCATATATACTTCTTCTGAAAGAGAGCCATGAAGGAAGGCGTTATTGACATCCAGTTGGCGCAGGGGCCATTGTCTAGAGAGTGCAAGGGATAAGATAATGCGGATAGTTGCCGGCTTGGTGACGGGACTGAAGGTTTCAGCATAATCACGGCCCGGTTGTTGAAGAAATCCACGAGCAACAAGCCTGGCTTTGAATCTAGCAACACTGCCATCTGCATGTCTCTTAATTCGGAATAGCCATTTGCAGGTTATGGGTGTCTGAGACGTCCGGGGAACTAGCGTCCAAGTTTGATTTCTACGGAGAGCAGCCATCTCTTCCTCCATAGCAGATTGCCATCTAGGATCACGTAAGGCTTCCTTCACACTTGCTGGTTCCAGGGTGGTGGACACGGGATGCCGTGTGGTAAGGTTGACAAATGGACTACCGAAATATTTGGGATTTGGAGCTCGAATACGGGTAGGACGGGGAGGGGTAATCTGTGAGTTAGATGATGACGGAGGGGAAGTAGCTGTCATTTGAAGAGAGGTGTTATCCGTAGCATGGGTGGAATTATTAGGAGTATGGATGGTGACGGAAGTGGACGTATTCTGCATGGGGGGAGTTGAATTTGGTTGATGGTTGGAAAAAAGGTGGGAGTTGGAATTATGGGGTGGAGTGGGTGGATTATTATTGGTCGCAGATGTATAGGAAGTGGAATTTTGAATAATTGGATGGAGTGAGGATATGGGTGGTGGGGAAAAAGCTGTTGGTTGGGATAAGGGAGATAGACTAGGGACGACCGAAAATTGAGGAGAGGGGATAGGTGGGGTTGAAATATTTGAATTTAAACTAGGTAGAGATAGTGGAGGGGAAGGCTGAAATTGTTTCCCAGGCTGCGGATATTTAGTTTCATGCATGCATGTGGACTGTTGGCGTAAGGGATAAATGTGTGGGACAAATTTCACATGTCGACTAATATATACACGGTTTGTGGCATAGTCTAGGCAAAAATACGCAGACTGAGACGGGGAGTATCCAACAAATACACACGGAGTGGACCGGGGTTGTATTTTAGTGTGAGTATAAGGTCTCAGCCAAGGATAACACAGACAACCAAATGGTTGTAATTTGGAATAATTTGGCGGGTGTTGGTGGAGACGAAAATAAGGGGTGTCATTGTCAAGGACCGGGGTGGGAAGGCGGTTGATTAAATATAAAGTAATTATACTAAATGGGACTAAAACATGGTTAAAACTCCAAAATAGGACTTGAAGTTTTAAATTGCTTAAATAAGACTCCAGATTACATTTTTACCCCCAATCCCTAAATCACCTTTCCCCCAATTCATCTTCATCGATCGCGAGACATGCGATTCTTGCAACTCAGCTGCCATGGACTAAACTCGGCCGCCATGGATCACAACTCGCAGCTGCTTTCTCGACGCCGGCTGCACCTCTTCAATGATTCTTGCAGTGCCGCAGCTCCGCCATCGACGAGCTCTGCTGCAATTGTTCCAGTCAAGTCAGGTATGTACTCTTCTTCTTCTTCTTCTTCTTCCTCCTCTTTTTTTTTTTCTTCTTCTTCTTCTTCTGATCTTCTTCTCCTTCTTCTCAATCTCTTCAATCTTCTGCTACTCTGTTATCTTGTTCTTTAATTTGGACTTCAGATTTTTTAATAAAGCAGGAATGCCACTTGATATGCAAGAATGTCACTTAATATGCATAATGGCACAATAATGACAATTTCGTATAGAAATATGACATTCTCAATATGGCATTTTCAAATAATGTAATGACATAAAAGTGACATTTTTTAAAAAATACCCCATGATTATGCCATTCTCTCCTTCAAAAGTGACATTTTCTGGAAACATTAGTCAATGCATTTGAGAATCAAAGTAATCAAAATTGATAACAAGAAATTCAAGTTTAGATATAATAACTCCATTTGAAACTTTCAAAAATAAAAAAATTAGAAAAGATCTGATTGACAAAATAAAAAAAGCAAAGAACTAGGAAGAAGAAGAAGAAGAAGAAGAAGAAGAAGAAGAAGAAGAAGAAGAAGAAGAAGAAGAAGAAGAAGAAGAAGAAGAAGAAAAGAAGAAGAAGAGATTACCTGCCTGCTGGTCGCCGATGAGTGCAGGGCTGGTAGCCGATGATGCAGGGCTTCGACACATGGTGCTGCGGTGCTCTGGAGCAATATCGATGGAGGTTGTTGTTTGTCGGTGATGTGCATCGCTTTTTAACTAAGGGTATTCTTGTCAGATTACCTCTTTTTAGTCCTATTTTTGTTAAATAAAACATAGTAGTCCTATTTTTGCAATTCTACCTTCTTTTAGTCCTATTTAGGTAAATCTCTCTTAAATATACCGCAGTTTGAAATGCATAGGACCAATATTTAATAGGGAGACCAGAATAGTGTAACAGGGCCAAACCCGTGTCAACTATGTGACGATGACGACGCTCCGCCACACCATTATGTTCAGGAGTGTGAGGGGGTGATGTGAGATGAGATATACCATGCGTATTGAGATAGCTACGGAGTTTAATATATTCACCACCATTGTCAGAAAATATAGTTCTAATTTTATGATGGAAATATTTTTCAACAAGGCGGTGAAATTGTGGGAAGATAGTAGACACTTCAGATTTTTTCTTAAGTGGATATAACCATATATAACGGGTGAAAAAATCCACAAAAATAACATAGTAATTGTAGCCATCAATAGACTTATCAGATGTACTCCAAACATCAGTATAGATCAATTTAAGGGGATTAGTTGCACGCATGGTATTGACAAAAAAAAGGCAATTTAGTACTTTTATTGATGGAACATGACATACAATGAAACTCACACCGTGGATTACAAGGAATATTTTTATTTTTATGAACTAAGTACTGAAAGACACGACTGGAAGGGTGCCCCAGAATGTGGTGCCAACTGGAGACATCCGCAAGATGAGTAACATTGACTTGAGGCACGGACTTGGATGAAACATAATAAACATCATGGATGTTCTCCCCTCGTAGAAGTGGCGCCCCCGTGACCCGATCCTTGACAAGAAAATGAGTGGAAAAGAATTCAACAGAAACATTGTTAGTTTGACACAGTTTAGCTACGGAGACCAGATTTTTTTGTAACTTTGGAACACATAAAATATTAGAAAGGGATAGGGAACGGGTAGTGGTAGTGGGTAAGGTAGTAGAACCAGTGTGAGTAATGGAGAGAGCCTTACCATCTCCTAGACGGATCTCTTCCGGACCGCCGTAATCTGTGTATGTGGGAAGGAGATTAGCATCCGATGCCACGTGATGGGAAGCACCGCTATCAAACATCCATTGTTGATTGTGTGGTGATTGGGCAGTGGTGACATGGTTGACCGCCGGATGGCTTTGTTGAGATGTGTAGGAGATATTGTTGTCACGAAGAAAGCGCCGGAGTTTGCGGCAGTCCTTCACTTCATGTCCAACATTATCACAAAACCGGCAGACCATGGAGAAGGAGGAATGGCGAGTTTGGTGGTGTGAGTATCCTCCTCGGCCACGACGAGGTGCTGACCCTCTTCGGTCATTCGCATAGTTAGGACGCCGGTCTCCAGAAGATGATGAGTGATGCATGCGATCACTTAGCATGGTAGTATTTGCGGTTGGCAGGAGGATTGAAGTAGGTGCAGGGGAATTTTGAAGCTCACGTTCACGCTCCTCCAGTATGCTCTGGAGTTGACTTAATGGTAACGGTGTTTCACGAACCCGAATAGCGGACGTGATATCATGATAGTCCGGGCCAAGGCCGTTCAAAATAGACACAATCAGATCTTCTTCAGAAGTAGGACTTTGAGCAAGCGCCAGATCATCCGCTATTTTGTTCATTATAGTGAGATATTCCATGACAGATTTGTCACCCTTGGTAGTTTTGGCAAGTGTTGATTTGAGGAATATGATCCGACCGCGGGATGTGTTGGCATAGGTGAGTGCCAATTTATCCCATGCATTGCGTGATGTGGTGGTAGAGGAGATGATCGGCTGAATGGTGTCGGAGCAGCTCCCAAGTAAAGCGCTGAGGATAGTCTTATCCTGACGATACCAGGTAATATAGCACGGATTCAACTGCGTTTTGGCAGCATCGGTGAATTGATCCGGGGCTGTGATGGTACCGTCAATGTACCCTTCAAGTCCAAGGCCAACAAGGGCGGCATGAACTTGGCATTTCCATACGGGGAAATTAGATGCCGTGAGTTTGATCGGGAAATTGGCTGAGGCGGTGAGGGGGATAACAGCAGTGGCTGCTGGGATCGTCATTTTGAGAGTAGGATCAGAAAAAAAAATTAAGCTCTTAAGAGTATGGCTCTTGATACCATGAAAATGTTTGATTGTATTAATCATTATGATGTACACTTGGGATACACGTACAAGAGATAAACTCAAGCTAACTGCCTAGCTAATATAAAGGATATAGCTACGGACTAGGAGCTAATATATACAATTGACTAGTCTATGATATTATCTGATAGAATAATAATAATAATATAATTTATGCTTTAATATAGTAGACCTTAAGGGTCGGATCCAAAATGGTCAGATCCGATATGGGTCGGAACCTTTTATTCCAAATATGACCCATACTTATCTCTCATACAATAAATCCAATCCGATAAATGATACTCCGTGCTATAAGCTATTTGGACTCATACCCTAAAATTATTGTTTTCTGATATCTCTTTTTCTCACATTAGACGATCAGCGAACATGGCGGCTCACGAGTTAGCCAAGCGGCGTGTTCTATGTCTGATTGTATTTTTTGGGATGATGTTCCTCCTAATTTTATTTCACATGTACTGAACACTGATTCTATTAATGATAGTTGATCAATTTCTTCTCAAACAATATTCTGATATGTGGAATTGAGATCTCCTATCTTCAAAATCTATTACTCCGTATTATTTCTAGAAACGCTTAGCAATTGTGTTTCTAATCTTGATTTTATTAATAACATAAACATGACATTTTATCTTTTTCGAGAATGTTTGAACAATGGGAGCAACAAGTCAATTGAAGCTATAACAAATGAGAAGCTATGTTTGGGCAAGTGACAATTACTAAATGTATTGAAATTTTGATTTGTGAAGAAATCATAAACAAATCAATGGTAGGTTGCTCACTCTTTACTCCATATACTAGTTAGCTTTTTTCCGTTTAAAACGCGTTTTAAACACGTATTATTTTTTTGAACAAAAAAACGCGTTTAAAACGAAAAATAATGGGTCGGTCCGTTTAAAAAGGAAAAAAACTCTCACTTCCCGTATACAACGTATTTTTTTCCGTATTTTACAAAAACTAGAAACATGAATTGATCAATTGAATTAATGCATAAAATGCATATGAGATCAACAATAGCTTAAAAGTAAAAAAGAAACCTCCTCCTCGTAACCCCATGTTCTTGTATTGTTACAATGCAATTATTAATCACTAAAGTTATTTGCATGGTGACTAAAGCTAGCTTCCTACAAGATCAAAACTTGAACTACTATTGGATTTATGATGATATCATATCAAAATTAAGGTTTTTCTAAATCTAACATATTTTAGTATAAGCTTTTACACACAAACAATAATAAGTGTATCAGTCGCACAACGTACTTTTCTCATATGTCATTCACCATCTTGGTGAAAATCATGAGTTTGACTTGAGTGTTATTTGATGATCATATAAAGACAATGATTTTAAGTTAGTCTCATTCTATTGTTTTTACTCCCCATTTTTTGACTTTATTTTACAAAATTATGTCTTGGACTTGATTACTATTTTTATTTTCTTCATCGACTTATGAAATTACAAATTATTCTTTTGTGTGGTAATGAGATATGCTACTTGAATATGTATATACTTTTATTTGTTTTTACTATATATCTTATTCTGTGAAGTACTCCGTATATACTTTGAATGTTCAAAATAATACCGCGTATTTTTGTCCGAATTT